TTTGTTTTCGGATTTGTCTTTGTGTTTTCTGACTTGTTATTTTGTTTTCGGATTTGTCTTTGTGTTTTCTGACTTGTTATTTTGTTTTCGGATTTGTCTTTGTGTTTTCTGACTTGTTATTTTGTTTTCGAATTTGTCATTGTGTTTTCTGACTTGTTATAATGTTTTCTGAATTGTTGTTGTGCTTTCTGAATTGTTATTTTGTTTTTTAGACTTGCATTTGCGTTTGTAATTTGTTATTTTGTTTTCAGAATTGTGATTTGTTTTGCAATTCTCGGCCACCGTACCTTCGGATGAAGGTCAGCATGCAATCAATGCACTGTCTGAAAAAGAAAGAGGAAATCAAGAGAGCTATGAGCATCTGTTTGAAGTATTCATGTCTGTAAACCCCATTTTACCTCATTTTATAATATCCAGAAATCTACCTTAAAATGTCCAACTGGATATGAGCAAAAAAAAAAAAAAAAACAGTTCCAAACAACAACCAGAGTTTATCATCACTATATGCAGGAAAATGACTGGACAAGTATTTTATTTTTCACATATGTAAAGTAACAATAATACATTTTATTTTATTACTTTTTTTTTTATTTTTAAAGGTTAATATTAAAGCCGAACATTTTGCATATAACATAAATGAATAAAAATGAAATAAAATACCAAAATACGTCATTAACGATGAAGCCACACCCACAAATTGCAGAGCAACTTGCTACACAACAATAGGCTGGAAACGTGAGTAAAACACGGTTTCTAAATAAAAAGTATGATTATACCCTATATAAATGATTATCCAATTAAAATATCGCAAACCCAGGGGCGAAAATTGGCTTGCCTCTGAAAATAACCACACTATCTTCAATAGTGCCAAAGTTATTTCAATTATAACGATAATGTAAAATAATAATGAATTAATATCAGGGGCCTCATTTATAAAATGTGCGTACGCACAGATTTGATCTTAGAGTGTGCGTACGCTAAAATCCACGGCAACGTTCATATTTATAAAAACGGTCTTTGACGTGGAAAAGTACTTACCGCCACATCAGGGTCTGAGCAGGTGTACGAACTTTTCCTTGTGGCAAAGTCGGAGTAGTGCAACTATTTGAACATCTAAGCTGCAATAATAATAAAAGCGGTGTACGTGCAAGCACAGAATTCATCATAAACAACGAAGATGCAGTGTGAGAGATTAACTGTGCAGTGTAGTCAGATTTTTTATTAACGGGAGTTTTTGCGAGATTAAACTGACCTTTTTAGTAGCCTAATGCTGAGACTTCTTTGACCTTTTTAGTAGCCTAATGTTAAGAGTTCTTTACTCGCCTTCTGTAGTTTATCCCAAGTTGTTTTATTTTTTGTTTTTTACAAGAGAACTTGCGAAGTCTTGATTTACTACTAATGCGTAAAACAGAAAAAAAAATGCATAAACGCATCTCCGACTGTTTTGTCTGTGTAGCCTATAAGAATAGGTCTGTTGTTTCTAGAAGTAATAATTTTAATAATAGTCAATCGAAAAAAATTTAACCACACACACATTGTTTGTCCACAGAATTTGTACACATTATTAGGCTAAATAAAAAGCGTCCCCGCACGAACCTCTACCTCCGCCAGCAGGACCTCAATTTCACACTCAGTAAAGTTTTTTTTTCTTTGTGCTTGTCATTCTCAAGCACAGAAATTCGGATATTGGCGTGTGATCTTTTATATGGTAATGATATTAATTAGGGGGCGTTTACAAGGCGGAGATCTGACACCAGTCAGCTACGCACAATTTCAAGATCATTTGCGATTTATAAATGTCACATGTGGAAGAGAGGGGAACGCACGTGTTTTTGTGCGCACGTTCGTTTTCTCTGACTCGCACTTACGCACTTTTGAGAAATGATCTTAGAACAAATTTAGGATGGTTTTTACGCAACATTTTATAAATGAGGCCCCAGATATCAGATCAGATGAATGTGTAATATGACACATTTGCTTTGAACTATTTTTATTGTAATATCAGTTTGATTATTTTGATGGTACCATTTAGACAGCTGTTGATAAGTAACTCTACAACTACATGTCAACTAGCAGTCATTGGAGTATTAGTAGTATGTCTGCTACTGTAAATATATGCTAACACTTTATTTTGATAGTTCCCCAACAGACAAACTGACTATAAGTAACTTTGCAAGTCAACATCCCAGGTCTCCTTCAAACAGTGAATGTAAAAACTGTTGTTATGTCCTATTTTAAGTACTATTTTTGTATTATTACTTTTGAATTTTTACATTTACATGTCTATTTAAATTATTCTTCTTTTTTCCTGATGAGTATTATTTGCTGACATCTTGGTGAAACTGTGCTACTCATGATTCCACATTCTTAGAAAGAAGCACGTTTCTTCAGAGCAGGTAGGTCACGTTGTCAGCACCAGGTGAAAGATTCACGTTGATGCTCTGTTAACTCAGGTAAGACGCTCTGGTGTCTGTTCTCCCATCTGTTGATGTTAAAGGCCCGGAAGGTCCATTAAGTAGTTTAATAGCGGCAAATCGAATGAATAAACGAGCTGTGACAAATGAAACGAGGTGCAGAGGTTTCTGGATTAAAGACACTGGCAAATCAATAGGTTATCACAACAGTGTAGGCCAACTCATTCAGCATTGATTTGGTGTAATACATCTAGAGCTTGACTAAGGCCAGAAACTTGAATGCAACGTAATTGTTTCATACGTTGTTGCATTCTGAAATGATCACAACTAAAATGTGTGTATATATATATATACATACATACATACATACATACATACATACCCCTATATACTGTGTATCTCTCTCTCTCTCTCTCTCTCTCTCTCTCTCTCTATATATATATATAGCCTAGGCCTATAATAAAATATGACTCCAAGTTTAATTACATTCCTAACAGAAATTTCTATTTGAACTTGATTTAAGTGCGTTCTAATTAAATAACTTATTAATGAAAGTTATTATAAATGTAATTGTTTGTGAATTTTAACTAGCATCAGTTTAGTTCTGTGAAATACAATTGCATGTTTACTTGAGGTAAAAGGAACAAAAATTACGAGATGTCCATCAAAAATTGAACTTTGTGTGCTTTCTCCGAGATTTCGGTCGTAAGTACTTGAGTCAATTTTCTTTGAGGTAAAATGCTTTCATCCAAAAGCCCCCAACGTTTTTTTTTTTCCACACACTTCAACTCATCTTATCTCGCTTTGGCAATTTAAGCAACCAACACAACCGACACGTTGTGCTCACACACAATGCTTTGAAATTATGCTTAACAAAAACAGTTTAAGTGGAGTGAGACGCACATCTATGACTCCAACGACAAGGGCAGAAAGAGTGCCGCTTTTTTCTTTCTAAACACTTAACCTCCTGAAAGGCAATTTGGAGATAAGGGTTGAAGCTGGAAGCCATGAAAGGCGTCTAACTCTAATCCTGCCTCACCTTGAGTCTGATCGAACTCTGAAAATCATCCGCAAATCTCAAATCTCTCGTTTCTTCCCTAAACCGTAAATACATCCACACGTTCGCACAACGGTGGGCAGCTTTCTTCTCGCTAAATTCTCTCAAGCTAAAGATGGTGTCGAAAGTTTTTAAAGTTTTGATGGCCGATAAGGTTACTCTATTTTGTTTGTTCAGGTTTCTGTGAAGCGCAGAGATGAGGCAAATCCATGCCGGGATTATCTTCCACTCTCTCACCTTGCACAGGTGTGGAGAGCTGATATGGCCCACATGCTCCCGATGCACCATGGGAAGAAGCGGGACAGCTGTGAGAGGGAAGCCATAGGTTTGCACAGATTATCAGAAACCATTTCTCTACTTTCATACGAATGGGAGAAGAAAGAAATGAACTGCTTTGAGAATATTCCTCTGAAAAGTCCTGTCTGAAATCTAGTTTAAGATGTAGATAGTATATGGGAAAATATTCTTCATACTTCCTTGTTTAGCAAACGCAAAACTACCTTTGCAATGAAATGACTTGTGTACACTAATAAGTGAAGATGATTTGACGCTTAAAACGTACTTTCATGTAATCAGGCTCATTCAGTCATATGAAATAATGTTGACACCACCCTACAAAGGTCTGGTGGAATAATCAGCGCCCCCCAAAAGACACCAATAATGATAGCTACCTGTCCTATCAAGTTCCTAACACATTTAGAGGTGAACAGAATCAGCAAAACGATACAAACTGGACAAATAATATACTAATTGATTTAAGTTTTGTAAGTCTTTTTTCTCCCTTTTAAAAGTTGATAAAAACCATTTTATTATGCGATCCTATACCATTTTATTGTTCGTTACATTTTAGTACTACAGTACTGCTTGAAATGTTTAGGAAATTACTGTTATTGCAACTTCATGAAATAATTTCTATATAATATAAATATTTGTAAATAAATGTAAACATTTTTAAAAATCCAGGGGTTCATGACTGAGGCCAGAAAGTCCTGTATTTCCTGTATTGGAAATTCATCGATTAAAACTTGTTGTAAGCCTCTAAACACGCAAGAAGTGTTTTTAGAAGTTCTTGCAGCGAAACAAAGGTTTCAGACTTCAAAACTGATAATGTAAAAAGAGAAAAAGAGGGGAAACACTCTAGAATGTGAATTAAAGGAGTCACGGATAAAAGCACTTTAGCCGAAAGTGCCATTGTTCAAAGACCAATCCGGCACAACGAGCTCAGATAAACACAATTTCACTCTAGTCACTGCGATTACCACACTGCTAATCGCTTCATTTTGCATGTCGCTATTGCAGGTAAACAAAAGGTCATAATTTAGTGGAATTAGAATTCCAGAAAGGAATCCGCTCTTTTGTTCTTAAGAATGCACAGAATACTGATAATGTGTTTTTAATCCCTCACCAAGTCTATTAAATTGTTTGGGTATTTAAAAAAACGTTCAAGCTTTCAAAAGTCAATGCAATTGCACAAAATACAGTTTTTTGGAAATTAAGTACAACTTTCAAGATTATAAGAGAAACATGTTGCAATTACGTTGGAGTTGTTTGGGGAATGTTAGAAAACATCAAACAAAAGTTCGACAGACCAAAATCAGAGAGAACGATAAACCACAAAAATTGTGATCATTTTATTTTCATACAGTACAGTTCCCTTTATAGTTTTCTTCTCATGTGAACATTCATGCAGCTTTCGAGTCTTTGCTTCGATGCAGCACTTAAAGCAATTTCTGATTCCGGCCTGGCAGAACCAGTTCAAAACGAATCCAAGACTCTAGTTCAGACAACAAAGAGCATCCTGAATTGCAGAACACAGTGGCATCATGGGGATTTTCCAGGACAAGCTCTCGACAAAACTAGGTTGAGTGCTGAGCCAAGTCAAACAAAATAATAACGGGCTGGTCCCAAATGTTGCTCTCAGTCCTCCGAGGACTCACCACTTTGGTGACATAATGCAGCATAGAGTGTTGAGTTGAAACCCACTGTGAAGCTCACATCAGTGCTTTGCAGAAGTGTGCACTGCGGTTAAGCACCTTTCTAAATTGTAAAATGATGAATGGAACACCCATCGGTCCTGTGTACTTCATGGATAACATGCAAACAGGAACACAAATCCACATTAAACAGCCATTTGAGGCAAGACCAAAGTAATCAATGTAAAATCTAAAGCAATTTTCTGGAATCTGTAACATTGTAAATTAGTATTTACATAATTACAATGACTGAAAAATGTCTGATGATCAGATTCCTGTACAACTTTTTTTTCCCCAATTCCCCAATTGCAATCTGATTAATTTAGATTTCTGATGATAGTTTAGTCTTTATTGTTTTCAATAAAATGGCATCACATTCTTAATATTAAACAAGAACTTGGATGACAAAAATCAATTTAAACAGAAAACTAAAATGTCAAATTTACAATTAAGTGGAAATGTGGCTTTAGACAAAAACACGTACATAAGAATACATTTATACCTTAAAAAACAAGCAAACAAAAAACACTGGGTTTTGCCTTTACCCAAAACTGGGCTGATCCTGTTGGGCCATTTTGTTGGATTATTTTTTAGCTATTTTATTTTATTTTTAGCAATTACTGCTGTTGGCCTATATTTGTAACTATTAGAGTTAATAGACATCGGCTGATTATTTAAACAGCTAATTATGTCCTATCAAACAAATGGGAGGCTTGTTAATAGCATTTAATTTTCATCATACCATGGTCTTGTCTGAGTACTCTATTCTGGGGTGCGTTTCCCAAAAGCATCGTAAGCCAACTATGGTCGCAAGTTCCGTCGTTCCCAACATAGTTCAACGATTCGATGTTTCCCGAAACCATAGTTCAAACGAACATTCGCAAATAGCGTGGCAAACTTGCATGGTAGGAACTACAGCTTGACCTGTGGTTAGAAGCATAGTTTCTTGTTAGTAAGACATATGGACTTAAATTATGCTCTTGGGCACAATAAGCAAGTTAACATGCAGTACAATCTATATCTTCCATTCTGTTTAAATATATATATACATTTTAATCGATAAATTTTTGCGCGTCCTCAATAATCGACGTTTTTGGAAGAGTGCGCATGCGCATAAATGCCTAAGGAAACCCGGAGTATGACGTAAGAGCTAACCCGCGATGAATCAAAGCTCAAATAAAGCAAAATGACAGGGAACAAAACATAGTAAATTAGTAATCAGGTGACATGTTCAATACAGCAGCATCTCGGAGATCTCGAATCAATTAATTAGCAGAAGTTATTACTCCACCACATGCGTGTGACGTTATAAACAACGGCCCTAAATTGTTGAACTAACGTGCTTCAAACGACGGAGATGCGACCGTGTTCGGGAAAGGCACAGTCGTGACTGGCTAGTTAGTTTCCACAAAAATGCATCGTACTATGGTGGTTAATCAGTGAGCTAAGTCGTTGTACGGGAAACGCACCCGATTGGCTGGCAGGTATGTATTAAAACCGTTTAATGCACAGGTAGCCGTGCAGTATCCCTTACTTATCGCAGCTTGACTGTTATTTAAGCACCTTAAGTTAGTAAAATGTCGAATAAAATTACTCAATTGCATTTGAAGTTATGTAATGTATATTAGGGTGTTTAAAAAGGTGGCTGAAAGCACAGTACCACCATTGGTACTAGAAGTACCAACTATCGGTTTCAGATTATGTTTTTCTTGTATAACAGATATCTCTATCATTACATTTTGTATTGTGCATCTCAAGTTATTTTCATAATGTTGTGTATTTTTGTGCAACCAAGCTGCTGGTTTATAGCAACCATAATATAGATCAGTTTGTCTCCTCTCCTGTGAGAAAACTTCTTGTGGGGAACCTCCTTGGTAAATTTAATTTAAATTAAAAATCATTCTGAGGTAAAATTAAGCCAGCATTATAGTCAATGTGATTAACCGTGCAAGCCACCTGGGTTGGTTTAGCGCAAGGTACTTTCCATCTTTTACCCAGTGCCAAGTTTTCAGCGGTGTTTAACCCAGCCATTTTTTGAGTGAACACGACCATGTTTTTAACAGATAAAAGAAACCAAGCAATTCTCAGTAATAACAGAGGCAAAAAAATAAATAAATACTATGGAGGTTAGATTAAAACCTTGCATTCCATGGAAATGTACAAAAGATCTCTTGCTGACAATCCTTTTCTCTCAGTTTATCTTAAGAGTTAAGGGAAAACTGGTCTTGTTCGATGGGTTTTTCAACCCATGCACCAAGTCCCGCTTTGTAGAAAGCTTTGAAGAGAGTCTGTTTGGCCGCGTGATATTCCACTGCTGCTTGTTTTGCCTCATGGTAGGAGCCTTGCCGAGATCCTTGGATCCCCAGAGTTTCACTGAGCTGAGAGAGGTAAAGGGATATTTGCTTTTAATATACCAAGTTACCATATTTATTAAAAATTAAACCTTGATTGTTTTGATTTATCCGTAAGCTATCCTCCAACTTTACAGAAATGCTTTACCTTGGCATGTAGACAGACCCAGCGACTGTAGAGGGCGTGTTTACAGAGGTGAGACGGTCTTCCGAGATCATCTTTTCCTGTGGTGGCGTTAATGATCTCCAACCCCTGATCTCCGACTGTCCAGTTGACGCTGAAGTTGGGAGCTTTCCCAGGTTGCCTTGCTTCTGTGTTACTGATACCTGCAGAGGAAGGAGGTAACAGACATGGTTGGGCAAAGAGCTGAGAAAACTCATACAATCAATCATTAATTTGAGATGTTTTACCACTAAGAAGAGGTCTGTTGAGGGCAAATGGTTTGGGAAAATCGTCCATGTCTGCAATGCGCTGGTACACGGCTCTGGAAAGATGGTCGGCGTGGTACAGACTTCCCAAAATTAAACTGGAGAAATAGATGGGTTCTGTAAAGTGACTCAGAAGAGACCCCTGGACTCCGATCACGTTCCATCTACGAAGGGAAAAAGAAAACCACAGATGTTTGAGAAGTACAGGTGTGCACTTGGCTGACAGAAGGAAACAAAGACATTGGTTGCAAGCGGCAAAACGGAGTCGCGCCCTGTGGACTACAGCATGATACTTATGCCACGGTACAAACCATACCATGAAGGAATAACAACATCCTGATGTCAAGAGAGTGCACTCGCACACAGTCATATTTACGGCAACCATTGAAATGATCAGAAAAATAACACCTGGGATCTATAATCTCAATCACTGCGATTTCTCCGAATCCTTCAGAATAAGGTTTCTTCCAAAGGTGATGCATGAGATCGGAGCTCTCAAAAAGCCTCAGCTCACAGCTGGATGATAACGACTGCGTTTAACTGGAATGGGATTCTTGGCATCCAATGAGAGGCATGCGGATGTGTTTGCGGCAGCAGGCTTCCCTCAGCGGGGAGGCTGTTTTTGGAGACCATAATCAGAGCCCTAATCAGGGGCCCAATGCCCCTGCTCCAGGGAGCCCCCTGCTCTGGAGAGAGCTGAAGTGATTGGGGTTTCAGTGCCAAGAAGACAGCCAATCAGCTGCTTTCTGAGTGCCGCTGGATGCAGGTGGTGGAATGCTAACGAGAGGGACTCGTTAAAGGTGGTGGGGGGGGCACGAGGAAAAAAGTAAGACGGTCATAGGAAGCATTCCACATCGAGCAGATCAAGGAGAGGTGTCACCACAAAAGTGGGCGACCTGATGTCAGCAGGCTTTTTTTCCCCTTAAAAAGAATCATAAATCATCAAAGCTTCAGCCATGTCTTATTTAGAAAATGTGGTCGAAAATACATTTTTTATTTTGTATGGAATTAAAATGGATTATAAATGTCAACTTTACAATATCGTCTATATGGAAACAGTGTTAAGTCCTCTACTGACAGCATCTTACCTGGCAATCTTGTCACTACACGACATGGTTAGCAGTCGTTCTCCCTGCAACACTCCATCCCAGGTCTGAATGGTGTTACTCGTACGAACGGGTATTGTACCTTCTCCAGACTCAATCTTGGTTCGCAGTTGTCCGCGGGCCTTGCGGTTTGGATGTCGGTCACCTTGGTCTAGAAAGAACGAGTTAGAATTTAGTTTACTACTTTTTAAAAACCGGTCCTTATTTTATTGTGGCATACAACAACAAAATGAGCAAATCCATCCATCATAATTTACATACCCTCGGCACCAGCCTCATGAGGGGAGAAGATCCGGGCGTCTCCGCAGGGCGATGTGCTGATATACAGATGGAACTGAATATCGTATTTTAGCCGGTAGCCATGTTCACTACACCATCTGAATATGGATTTCTCATGTTCCTCAGTGCTGTTGCTAAAGAGAAAACACACACACACACTTGTGAGATCTGTGATGTCAACTGAGACAATTAGGAGGGCTTTGAAATGTCCATAATTTAAAACAGGTCCTTGGCCTGACACCCATCTCATCAAATCTGTCATTTATTATTTCACAGTGAATAAAGGTCATGTCTAATTGATTACACAGGCATATCCATGTCCACATCAATTCATGCTAATCGGCATCTGAGAAATTGATCCAAAAATAATCTTCCATATCCACAGGCAAATATGAATGATTTGTCAATTCTTAATGGTTATAAAATAAAGGATGATTAGACAGTAATGCTACCACCTAAACAATATTACATATTATTATTATTACTATTACTATTATTTATTAATATATCATTTATATATATATTTATTTTATAATTATAATTGTTTTTTTATTTGAATTTTAACCGCATTAAACTGACAGTTGTTACATGATATAATAGCATGGAAATTATATATTAGTGTCAATTTAACATTAGTATGATTACAAATATATAATTGCAAACATAAGATAAATATGTATACTTGTTTCACCTAATGAAGTATTCCAGCTGACTGTACAGGTATCTGATGAGGGAGCGACGTGCGATGATCTCAGCATGGCAGTCGTTAAGGGCCAGTCCCCGATCACTCATGTACTCCCCATTTATACACTTGGTTCCCGTGGTGACGCAAATTACCTGAGCATCCTTCACATCCGTACCTGATAAAATGGTCAGCGGGATTTAGCCAAATAGGACATGTTCCTGTTTCAATGTTCCAGTCAAAAGTATGCATTGTGCTCACCAGTTGTCATGACAACACCCGCAAGGACTTTCCGCCGTGCATGTGGAGACGTGAAGTTATCCGTCAGCTCACTGAACTTTTCCACAACTAAACGAGAAACAGCATCCGCAAGGACCTGAGGAACCCACAACCATAACTGTACAAACAACTGTATACTGCTAATAACAGTGCTAGCATGTCACCTAGCTAATCAGCAACGATGAAATGGCTGAAAGACTACAACCTTATGGAATAAACTCCAAGGATACATTAAATTGATGCTTTTAAAGTCAGAACATGTATCCATTTGAAAATGGTTGACAAAATGGCAAATGCTCGAACACAAAAGAAATTAACTGCTTGACTGACACTGAAAGATCTCTTTAGACAGAAAGGTGAGAGCGATGTGTTTTCCTGTTTGAGAAGTGCTCCTGTATCTGATTTTAATTAGGATTCTGTTTATTCTCTTTGGTTGTTATCAAAGGGGAATGGGAGGGATTATGAACAGGATTAACTAATGTGTAAATAATGCCGTGTACACTGGTGCACCGATTAAAGGTTTAATGCTTGAGTTCATTTGAAATCCAACTGAAACCTTCGTGTGTAGGCTCTGATTTAATTAAAATTGTTAAATGAAGACTGGCAGGAGCTTTATAAAGGACAAATGATAGTTAAGCAAAGCTACTGAAGCATAGCATTTAATCGCATTAAAATTGCTTTTTCAATATCAAGCTAGATAAAATGTGAGACAGAGTTCCTATGTATGTGGCCATATAGAAATGAACTGAATTAAAGGTGCAATAGGAGATTGTCTTCAGAAATTGTTTTTGTTATGCTGGTTGAAAGTCTCTTCACATCCCGATAGCAACCTTCCTTCCTGGTATTGAAGGACTTTTAAAGTTTTCTCGCCGGTGAAAGACACATGATGTAGCCCAGCGGTTCCCAATTCCAGTCCTCGTGCACATATTTTGCATGTCTCGCTTAGTTAACACACCCGATTCAGATAACCAACTCGTTAGAAGTGAGCTACATGCATGAACTGTGTTCCGATCGATATGATCCCTACACCATGTTCATTGCTCCCTACTCCCTGAGCAGGGGTTTACTTCTCTTCGGAACATGGGCTGGAATTGAGAACGGCTGATGTAGCCTATTGCAGTAATGTTGTCTCTGGTATTCTGGTCTGTGAGCGTCTATGCGTTCAGGGGGCGTGGCTTTGGATGGCGATTGCACGGAGGGTGGGACGTTCGCTTTCAGTGCTATAAGGCTAAAGTTAGCATTTTCCAAGATCTCCTACTGCACCTTTAATTTATGACATAGTTATGTTCATCCTTGCCTAAACTTAGTCCACCATATGATGTAATTTTGACCAAACAATGACCACTTACACAGTTAACACCTAGTGTTAGCTTAGCGGGAAAAACTAAGAATGTAGGAAAAAGAAAAAAAATCTGATATATGTTAATGTATAAAAATGCGATTATTTCATAAGAGAGACAATTGCAGTATGACAATGGCCAGTGTTTTGATTGTGTCAAAGAGAAAGTACTGTAAACAACAACCCCAAATAAAAGATGAGGTACACAGTTCTCACCTGAGGCAGGTGCAGCTGAAGTCCCTCTCTGGGGATTGGCTGTCGGGATGGTGTCTGGTCCAGTTGCATGTTAAAAAGTCCAGACAGAGCTGCTTGGGCCGCCCTCGCTTTCGCCAGCTTTTTATTCCGTCCGGAGCCTTGGAACATCTGAGTTTCTACGGTAACTTCCATTGTAAAGTTCTTGGCATGGCTTTCACCGCTCTCAGCCGCAAACTCATACTTCAGTCCTGGCCGAAGCTCATTTAGGATCATCACAGCGTTTTTGCCACTGCCTGTAGGGGGCGTTGTGAGTGCAGGGGGTAGTTGGAGAGGAGGATATGACCTGTTGTTGTTTTTCAGCGCCACGGGCAGAGGAAATTCGTTTAGGGAGCAGAGACACCCATTGCTGCCAAGACTCAGGTAGAAGGGGTCTTCAGGTGGTGCGGGTGTCTCAAATCCATTAAATAGCATGTCTGGGAAATCTGCTTGATCTGAGGTGAAGTCTGCGTTAACAGTCAGCGTTCGGCCCATCGCGAGGTGAGCTTCGGATGCATTGGGAAACTGAACGAAAGAGCGTAGCGCTTTTTCGGCCGCATTCAGTTTGGCTTTCTTCTTCGTTGGGCCTGAGCCCTCAAATAACTGTCCATTAACCTCAACGGTCATAATGAACACAGGTGCATGTACCGGCCCCGTCTGAGACAGAAGTTTGTACTGCAGTCCCGGTTTGATTTCGTTCAGTTGCATGAGAGCATTTTTCGGCAAGACTGGCCCTTGCGGTTTCCTGCGCTTCTTGGGCCGGAATTTGGAATGCCCGTGGCCTTTGTTGCCCTCCTCCAGAGGGCGTTTCCTGCTCAATCCCCGAGCGTTTCCATTAGCTAAGTGAGGCCCCTCCCCCAGCACTTCTTTGGAGGAGAGGTTGTCCAGGTTGCGGTTTTCTTTAACGTCCATGCTACACGAACCTGTGATGTCCAGAGAGAGTAACTTTCAATGCCTTCCATGCAGGACCTTGTAAATGTAAAATTTAGAGATTCTTTCATCTCTCTTTGTAACTGGATTGAAATGATAGCATCCTAAAAGCAGGTTTAGTCTAAAACATTTAACATTATGACAATATTAATATGGTTTAAAAATATTAATATTGGTTTCAGAATTATTATTTTTTAGCTATGACACTTAGATTGAGAGCAAATTGCTTTAACATAAAAAGAAATCGTATACCAAACTTTCAGCACATAATCTCTTTATTTCCATTATTTAGATAGAAAAATGTATTGTAAATACCTACATTTTCCTGGGAATCATGATTTTTTTTGCCCCAAATATATATTTTTTTGACTGTATTATTAAATACAGAATGTGCCATTTTCACCCTTACTAAAGAACAACTGCAAACTACCAAAACATCATATCAACCAGTTGCCAAAGCTGATGGAAATGAGTGTAAATTCTCATTTATAACATCCTACAGTAAAAGCTTGACAAGTTACTCCATTTGGTGCTCAGGAAATATAAATTAAAAGAGAGAGAACAGACAGACAGAAACAACTGATATAGAAAGTGCTACCAGAAAACCAATCTCAGATGTCGGTTTGGGACAATCTTGTCAATAGAGTCGTTCCCATCTGAGACAGCAGTTTGCACTGTGGTTGTCGTATCATCTCATCAAGTTGCGTCACACAATGTTTCAGCAAGACTAGCCTTGGAAAGTGAAGCAGACACGACTTTTGTTGTCCTTCTCCAGAGGGAGTTTCATTGGATCTTCGGTGGAAATGTACAGGTAGCAACACAAACCTGTGATGTCCAGAGAAAGTAACTTCGGTCCAAGAGCTTCAAAAGTTTCATTCATCTCTCTGTAACTGGATTGAGATTGTTATCTTCTAAAAGTCAATTACAAACACTAACAATTATAATGCGGGCAATTCATGTCAGCTTTCCTTGAAGGAGAGGTTGTCCAGGTTGTTGTTGTCCTTCTCCAGAGGGAGTTTCATTGGATCTTCGGTGGAAGATGTACAGGTAGCAACACAAACCTGTGATGTCCAGAGAAAGTAACTTCGGTCCAAGAGCTTCAAAAGTTTAATTCATCTCTCTGTAACTGGATTGAGATTGTTATCTTCTAAAAGTCAATTACAAACACTAACAATTATAATGCGGGCAATTCATGTCAGCTTTCCTTGAAGGAGAGGTTGTCCAGGTTGCGGTTTTCTTTAACGTCCATGCTAACATTCAGATGTCAGCTTTTTAGTGATTATAAAGGGAGCGCTCTTTGTTTGCATTCTGCCATGCCAAACCATGCACGCAGCCGTCTATGCTTGCTTTTCTGTTAAAAATAATAGTGGTTTGTGAATGTTGATGCTTTAGTAACAAATATTTTATCGGGGGCGTTTATGCTGGGATGTTGTGGCTAAGCGAAACGGAACTTACTATTTCATGGATGTACTGAAAAACTGAAAAACTACTTTTATGCGGGAGGGAGCAGGGCAAAACATGAATGTCGCGGGCAGGAGCGGGACAAGACAACATATATTTCTGCGGGAGTGGGCGGGTGCGGGACTGAAAAATCCATCCCGCTCAGGTCTCTACTTTGTACTTAGTATCATCTTGTTCAGTTGCACTACAGCATTTTTTGCCAAGACTGGCTCTTGTGTTTTCCTGTGCTTCTTGGGCATCATTGTGGAACAATCATGGCCTTGGTTGCCTTCCACTAGAGACCGTTTCCTGCCCTATTCCTCATGGGTCCCCAAGGGCTTCCTTCATAATTCTGTCTAAGTTGTGGTTATCATCCATGTCAAATGAACCTATGATGTCCAGAGAGAGTAACTTTGGCTTTTGATTCAGAAGCATAAAATGTTAAATCAGTGACAGAAAGGGAAAGATCAACTGAAAGGATTGGAAGTTAAGCGATATAGGAATCAATGGTCAATCTTAAAGTACACCCCCATCTTCTTACCTTACCCTGTTTGCAACCTTTAATACAGATGAAAGTAAAAATCAGTAAACAAGGGGGAAAAAACAAAAACACCACATGGTGTCCACAGATGATTCTTCATATAGTACAAGCATTTTACTCCAAACATCGGAAAATGTTCAGTAACAAGATTTCAAAAAAGAAAAGGTCTTCATCGTGGAAATGAACAAAATGGCAAGAACATAACCTGAAACCCAAAATAATGCTTCAAATCTCCACACAGGTTTTGTGTTGGAGTGTGAGTTTCAGAGTTTTCAACAGCCTTCACTTTTCCTCTGCGCTGCCTGTCTACAAATTGTCCTCCTGGGCACGGTGTTAACTTCCTGACCATGCCCCCTATAGACTCTAAGAGTACTAGGGATTGTGCACTAGCTCAAAGGCAACAATCAAGTGGAAAACATGTAACAGGATCTCACTGATAGGGTGTAAAAAAGCAGAAGAGTGCAGAATTCAAGGGCGGTCACTATTTGTGTACATCTGCTATTCTGTTCCAGATTCTTGGATTTTTTTTGGAGCTTTCAGGTACCCTCTTTTTTTAATCATCTATGGCCCAGTTTCACAGACAGAGCTTAGCTTAAGCCAGGACTAGGCCTTAGTAAAATTAGAATATTTAAGCAGCTTTTATTAAAATGACTTATAAAAAAACATCGTGGAAATGAACAAAATGGCAAGAACATAACCTGAAACCCAAAATAATGCTTCAAATCTCCACACAGGTTTTGTGTTGGAGTGTGAGTTTCAGAGTTTTCAACAGCCTTCACCTTTCCTCTGCGCTGCCTGTCTACAAATTGTCCTCCTGGGCACAGTGTTAACTTCCTGACCATGCCCCCTATAGACTCTAAGGGTACTAGGGATTGTGCACTAGCTCAAAGGCAACAATCAAGTGGAAAACATGTAACAGGATCTCACTGATAGGGTGTAAAAAAGCAGAAGAGTGCAGAATTCAAGGGCGGTCACTATTTGTGTACATCTGCTATTCTGTTCCAGATTCTTGGATTTTTTTTGGAGCTTTCAGGTACCCTCTTTTTTTAATCATCTATGGCCCAGTTTCACAGACAGAGCTTAGCTTAAGCCAGGACTAGGCCTTCGTTAAATTAGAATATTTAAGCAGCTTTTATTAAAATGACTTCTAAAAAAATATTACTGGCGTGCATCTTGAGACAAAACAATGGCACTGACATATTTTAAGATATGTCAGTGCAAGTTATTTTCAGTTGAGACAGCTCAAACATGCATTTTAGTCTAGGACTAGCCTTAAGCCTTGTCTGTGAAACTGGGGCTATATCAGTTAACTGCCAAAAAATGACAACGACACTGCTAATAACAATGCAACACTGCAGTTTTCGGAGTGTACATGCTATGCACATCAGCTACAAATCAATGCATATGGAAAGGAAGGAAAGAACTGCTTGTGAAAATGGCTTGGCATTGTACCTAATACACAAGAAAACACAATAAAGATGGACTGTGGATTTTCCTCAGGAGGTCAAACATACCTCCTTAAACCATTGAAATCTTTTCATCTGCTCTGAATTTAGGATTAGAGTCAAACAGAGAGGAATATCTGTCTAGGTCCTGAGGATAAGTCTTCCATTTTTCCACTTTTAAACAAATGTCATATTTTTTGGCACTTTTCAATAATGCATAAATCAGAACATTGAACATTTTTTGTTATCCACATATGAATTTCCAAATGGAGGTAGATATGGAAAAACGACAGAACACTCACTCATGCGTTTCTCTTCATCCACATCCAGACTGCAGAGCTTCTGCTGCCCCCTGGGCCGCCCACCGGCTCCTATTGCAGAGAAACCAAGGACATTTAAAATTCATCTCCAATCATGATTTCTGCACGCTGAAGTCATCTGTTTCCACTTACACCCTCCGCCTGCTCCCTTAATGAGGCTAATTAACCAGCTTTAATGATGGGAGACAACTAATGTGCAGGTGCAATTATTGCCCAATTAGATGCTAACATTCCCCTAATGAATCAGTGAAAGAGACAGGCAGAGCACACGTTGAGAAAACAGTCACTTTAAGCACTCGAGCCTCAGCTTGAGTGTGAACAGGAAAAAGTTTAGAGGAATTAAACGTCTGTTGGGGAGGAACAGGTCTGTTTATTGGATCTATTACTTGAACATACTTAAAAACTGAGGTCATACCAGTTAGAAACGACATCAAAAAGGAAAGATGAATATTGGTAGAAACAAAATAACTGATTCCAAAGGCAGGGAGATATGGAAGCGTCTGTACAGATAGGCTTGAACGAGGACATGGCCGCGTGAAGTGGATACAGTCGATAAGAGAGTCTGTGATAAACAAGCCTGAGAAGCTTGATAAATCACGAAAGCTATTAAACGTGAGTGACGTGCACAGGCACTTCAACAGAAGCTTTTTAAAGGCAATATACTGACACTTTAGACATAAACACCATTTTATTTCCTGTCATCTCAAGTTTTCAATCTTAACGAAACGTCCCATTTGATGCTGGACTGAGCTGAGAAAAAGTCTTAGGTGAACAAACATAAAATCAAAATACCTTCCTCTTAGAAACCATTATGAATGCAAGAACTGGAACATAAGGTGTCGGGAGTTGGATAAAATCACATTCTGAATGCGAAATCTGTCCACATTTCACTCAGGGATAAGTGCACCTGCTCGTTGATGGTGATCACCGATTGATGTTGATGGCGGTAAAACGCCATAAAAGAAGGGTTAGCTGTGGTGAACCTCATGAAAATGAAAGCCCGTGGGATAATAGGAGGCATTTCTCACAGTGTGACGCCTGACACATTAGCGAGCGGGATTGATAAATTAGCCTACATCACTCACCATTCAACATCTGCTTTTATAAACGGGAACATGCAACGGGAACGGGAACAACATACAGACATTTATTGTATTTTACTTGACCACAGTTTTTCTTTGCATTATTGTTTGGTCATTAAAACACAAATATTCAGTCAAATTGGAGTCAAACTGTATAAAATGATCACTAAACTTGCTTGTGACTCTATAACTGAACTTTTGGCTTGAACTCTTAAACCTTGCCGTTCTTAAAGTAAAAAAAAAACACTTGGCTCTCTTAACGGAGTGTTTAAGATATCAGCTATTAGCTCAAGGCATTTTTGAGTTGAAATGACATCACAGACACTGTTAGCATGTTGGAAACTGTTGCATTTGGTGCTTTAAAACAGCACGGGACGGTGCATTAAATGCCACTCTTGTTCAGCACCATGGAGAGCTGTAAGCTAAGAAAGATGAATTCAGGACCACGGAGAGCAGACGGCTTAGAATGCGCAATGAAGGGTAGATGTACGGTCATAAGACGAAGCCTGAACGCGAGCAATAGCTCAGCTCTACGACCCTCCAGCTCATCAGGAAACACTACGGGAGTGAGAGAGACCAAAGGGAGAGCAGAAGAAATGCAGAAAGGGATAGAAAGAGATCTGGACAGAGAAAGGTGTGTGTGTTGGAGTGCATGTTTTATTCTGTTCTTGTGCAGACTGAGAAAGACATTTGGCCTGATTCTCTCCAAGTGTCAGCAAAAGTAAAGAAACAAACTTTCGGTGTCAGCCTGTAAGGTATTACAGTCCACAAGTAGGCCTACTACAAGTTTGGATTAAAGGTAAGTGCAACTAACAGGGCTGTCGCCGAACAGAAATGCCAACTCATTCTTGCAGTCATGCTACCCCAAACATTGGTCTGTTTTAAGATCCTGATCTGTTCAACATGGGCTCAACCAATGGTGTGAGTTTGGGGCGTGGCTATCTGTCTGACTGACTAATAACAGGCAATGACAGTGTTCAGAAAACCTGTTTGAAAACAATCATTGCTTTTCCATTTGGCCACACAAGTGACACAGAAATTGACAATGTTCCTACTCAAAGAAATCATTTCCACCTGAAATCAACTCTACAAGATATTTTACAATGACCTGACTTGACGTCTCTGAAAAGAGGTCTGTTTCATTTTAAAGAGCACTTTTATGGCCAGAGCTTCTTTAAACAATAAAATGCATACACATGAAAACACATCAAAAGGATTTACTTTTACAAAGATTGGTTTAAAACACATGAAAATTCAACTAACATAATATTTTTAATAGACACACGAAACATTCTGCCTACCTTCATTCATTGTCATGCTGATGATGCCTGTGGGGGGAAAAAAAATCAGTGACAGACCAATACATAACGTTAGTTACTACATAATATACAAGACTTAAAAAAAAAGGTCTTTCCTCAAAAACTGGTAATATTGCTAAGGCACCAAACAATAAGTAGTTCTGCTTTTATATGTGAGCTCAGCTTTGCAAATGTGTCATGGTCTCTATGAACTCTTAGCACACAATGCTAACAGCCGGTCACAGGCTTTAGCATCAGAGTTAATCAAATAAAGCTCGCCCTCTTTCAGACAATTAGCAGCTGCCAGTACTGCCATGTCTTCTCCACAGGACCTTTGAAATTTTTATGACAGCATTCGTTTAGTGTCGACTCCGTAGGGACTCGGCGGGCAGCAGCAGGGCTGCGTGTCAATTCGTAAAGCCAATCAAGTGATTTCATCATTTAACACACATGAACTGAGACACACTCACACACATACCAACAGTGATAGAGAGAGAGCTAGAAAAATGGAGTCAGCCATACTAAGACAGAATAAAGTTGCATTTTTTCCCATTGAGTTTATATTGAGTCTAAAATGAAGAAGAAAAAAGAGGAAAAAGAAGAAAATTGTTTATTCATGTCGTTACTCGTTTACAAAAATGTGTTAGTGTTTTTTTTTTTTTTTTTTGCCCATACAATGTCAATGGGGTCCAATGTTATGTTGTTTTGGACCCCATTGACTTCCATTATATGCACAAAAACAGTTAAAACATTGTTCAAAATATCTTCTTTTGTGTTCCGCAGAAGTCAGTCATACAGGTTTGGAACGACATGAGGGCGAGTAAACAACATGACTTTTTATTTTTGTTTGAACTAGAAGTAAACTTCTAAAAATGTGAAAAGCCCCCATTATTCCGAACACATGAAGTAGCAAACACAGGTGCCATTGATGTTACGGGTGAGAACAGGTGGGATAGATAGTACACTTTATCAGCAAAGCTCCAGACCAGACCACATGCCACAGAGACGGATCTATCGCCGAGTCCATCAGAAGGAAAAAAAGAGGGAGAGAGTGTGAAAGTGAGAGAAGGAGACAGGTGGGTTGGACACGGTCTCAGTCTCGCCTGGTCAAACCTGAACCGCTTGAGCTAAAGCTGAATTTATTCCCCCCTCCAGTAGATTAAACTCACAGTCCATCCCCCAGGACTTCACTCCACTACACTTAGTCTGGAGGAAATGGGTTTTTTTTATCTCCATGTTTGAGCGTGAGAGACGATGGCACAGGGTGTAGAAACGCTTAAGTAACCATGTTTATCTAATTTGCTGTGCCTCATTTCTGTTCAAAATTCAATATTTTCAACCAGGCATCCATAAGAAAATAAGTCGGCTTTTTGTGTGTGTGTGTGTGTGTGTGTGTGTGTGTGTGTGTGTTTTCACCCAGCTGATGCCAGAAAGTTTGTAATCCTTGCTTGAGGATTATTTACCACTGCAGAATTATTCCTAGACAGCAGTCAACTGAGAAAAAAAAATTTTTTTATAAAATTGAGCTGCGTTTCTGAATAAATAAGGTACTTCTTATTAAAAAAAAATAATAATAATAATAATAATAATAATAATAATAATAACAACCTTTATAATATTTTTTATTTATCATTATTATAGAAATATATACTAGATGCAATTTACAAATATATTACTACATACAAAAAATATGAATGGGTCAATTTCTTTTTCAAAATTACCATTACACTTATCCATTCAATTGGCCTTTAGAAGAAGAAAATAACAAATAAACAAAAAAAAATATTACTGAAATATGAAAT